GCAAAATTTCTCATCGACCATGTTGAGAAACCTACCCTCGACCGTGGAGGGTAGCTTTCTCAACTCCGTGGCGCTTGCCCATGCCACCTTCCCTCCATTGAGGGAGTCCATTCGAAGTCCTTATACAAAAAAAAAATTCATTCAAATCACCCGGTAGGACATCAACATTTCGAAATACTTCCAACCGTGGGATCGCAGCCCTGTCGACGGCCACATCCTGTCGAACGTTGTCGCTCGTCGTAGAAAACTCCGCGTTGAGTTTTCTCAACAACACAGGTGGGACCAGACCCCTGGTCCTTGGACGGCTGGGCCGCCCAGGAAAACAGGGTGACCCGGGCGGCCCGGCTGGTAGCCTAGATAATAACTTCATTTTTATTTTAAATTTGGTAAAGAATTTCGATGCAACCCTGAGGCCAAAGTTGCTCAGTTTATTTTTCGGCACAACATAGTTTTTTCATGGTAACCGACCGGACGTTCAGCACAACATAGTTTTTTCCATGGTAACCGAGCGGACGTCCGGACGTCCGGGCTGCGTCCCAGACACTCCGGAACAACATGTCCGGTGTCCGGTCCTTTTTTTTTTCCTTTTTTTTTTCTTTCAAGTAATGACCCGAGTTGATGCTAGGGGTGCTGGTAAAAGCAGGCACCTCTAGCACGCCTGGGGTCCCCATCTATTGGTGGGGGCCATCACCTGCTAAAAACCGGTCCAGCGCCCCTATACATCTGTTGAGAAGTAGACATGCTGTATGAATCCGTTCGGTCTGCGTGTACAGACTGGGCTATGGTATATGCCCTGGATTCCATCGCTCCGTGTGTCTTACAGTCGGGCTATGGTATACATATGTCTTACCCAGGCGGACTATGTAAGTGTAAGTGTAAGGGCCTCGTTAGACCCTCCTTGGAAATCCATTTTTCAGGAAATCGTTATCGTTACGCAGCGTCCTAATTCACCAAATTTTCTTGAATGAATGTGAAAACACTCCCGAGAGATTTCCTTGGGTTCCTCAGAATCCCCAACCAAAACGTCCTTGGATTCAAGGGGTCCTCGCGAGGTCCCTTGGGTTAAAGGAGCCGCGATTGACGGAGTGTTCTGGAGCGAGCGGGGACAGAAAAATTTGGAGTCGATGTTGGTGCACAGGTTGTCCGTCGTCCATTGGGCGGACATCGCCGTCGTCCAGTACCCAACGGGCCCCCAACGGCCTTCCACCGTTACCGTTGGTGCGGAAATGTGTGGGGGTGGTTCTTCAGCTGCAAGGTGCTTCCCGAAGCAGGGTTTTCCGTGCGTGCGTCGCCGGCCGTGGTGTCCAACGGTCAAAATTTTCAATTTCTACAAGCGATGTTGAAGCACTGTCGGCCGATTGCAGTCATCTGCCTAGCGTGTTTTGTCGCGTATTGCCGGGCGCATTGATGCAAACTTTGTTGGTACA